GTGGGTGGTACGCTGTCGTCCTGCGGTAGCTGGTCTGGCTGTATGCCAAGGTCTACTGAGTCAGGTCAGCAGTAAACTTACCTCTGTCGGTGATGAGAACCTCCGGGACGCCATGTCGAAGGACAATGTTCTCAACAAAGAACTTGGCTACTTCAATGGCACTGCCTATGGGCAGGACTTTTGTTTTGGCGTAGCGAGCGAGGTAGTCAGTAGCTACGACGAACCACTTATTTCTGCAAGTTGACATTCTGAACAGCCCCAAGAGGTCCATCCCGATCTGCTGGAATGGTCGCCAGGGAGGGTCGATTGGCTGAAGGAAGTTTGCTGGTCTTGTGGGTGGTTTCTTCCACTGTTGACAGCCTCGGCATGTCCTCACATAACGAGTGACGTCAGCGGTAAGGCATGGCCAGTGGTACCATTCTTATATCCTCCCAAGCGTGTGGGAAAAACTAAGGTGCCCTGTCATCGGATCATCGTGCAGGGCCTGGAGAAGTTCTGGTCGCAGAGCTGATGGCACCACAAGAAGATACTTGGCTCAAAGAGACGAGAAGTTCTTCTTTTGAAGAAGACTGTTTCGCAGTGAAAACGACGTGAGTGCCCGTTTGAATATCTTCGAAACAACGGAGGTTCTGCCCTCAAGGTATTCGATTAGGCCCCTAAGTTCTGGGTCGGCCCGCTGTTGTTCAGTGAAGTCGTCGGCAGTTATCGTTCCCAAGAGGCACTCGTCATTCAGGTCATCGGGCAGCAGTGGGTCGACAGAAGCTTGAGACTGACAGTCGGCGTCAGAATGTTTCCTGCCAGACTTTTAAATGACGGTGATGTCGTATTCTTGAAGTCTCAGGCTCCATTGCGCAAGGCGACATGAATGCTCCTTAAAGTTAGCCAGCGTACAGAAGGCGTAGTGGTCGCTCACCACATCGGAGGGCCTGTCATAGAGATTGGGAGAAAACTTTGACGTCGCTCATATGATGGCAAGGCACTCCCTTTCTATTGTGGAATAATTGCTGTCTGCCTTTGTATAGCGACGGGCTAGCATAACTAACAACCCCTCCCAGTTCCTCAGTCCTCTGCACAAGGACAGATTCCTACGCTTTTGTATCACAGATTCCTACGCTTCTTGCATCAGTGTGCGCTTCTGTTTTGGTGTTTTCGTCAAAATGCGCAAGTAACGGAGGCATCTGCAGGAGTCGTTTTAGTTTCTGAAATTCTTCCTCCTGTAGCATTTGCCACTTGGAACTCAACGTCGGCCCTCGTAAGGTTAGTGAGTAGCTTGGTGATGTGGGCAAAGTTTTTGACAAACTGCCTGTATTAGACGTACAGGCCGAGAAATCGTTGCACTGCCTTCTTGTCGGCGGGTGGCGGGAATGTAGCGTTGGCGGTTGTCTTCTGATATCAGGTCTTACTCTGGACTTAGTTATCACTTGGTCCAAGAACAAAAGTTCCTCGTCTGCGAAGCGGCACTTTTCTGGCTTCAGGGTGAGCCCGGAGGGCCTGATGGCTTGAATTACAGCTTCAAGGCGCTGAAGATGTTTGCGAAGCTCGAGGAAAACATGACGACATCGTCCAAGTAAACTAGACAAGTCTGCCATTTCAATCCTGCTAGCACTGTGTCCATAATGCTTGAAAAGTTGCAGGTACTGAGCGAAAACCGAAGGGTATGACCTTGAACCTAAAGGGGTCGTCTGGTGTTGTAAACGCCGTCTTCTCTCGGTCTCTCTAACCGACTTCGACTTGCCAGTAGCCAGTCTAGAGCTCCATCGACGAAAAGTACTTTGTGTTGTGGAGTCAATCCATGGCATCGTATATCCGTTCCGTGGGAGAGGATAAACATCTTTTTTTGTGATTCTGTTCAGGGGGCTATAATCGACACAGAAATGTAGGATTCAGCCCTTTTTCTTCACTAGCACCATGGGTGACGTCTACGGACTCTTGGACGGTTTGATGATGTTTTCGCGTAGCATTTCTTCGATTTGCCTCTTTACAGCCTAGCGTTCTCGCGGTGAAACTCTGTAGGGGCTCTGCTGTAGTGGTCGGGCGCTTTCCTCTATTATGATGCAATGTTTTGTGACTGAGGTCTGGGGAATTTTCGATGACGACAAAAAGCAGTTTTTGTATTGTAAGAGCAGGGCCTTGAGCTGTTCTTGCACCTGCTTCGGAAGGCTTGGATTGATGTCGAAAGCTGGGTGAGGAGCTTTATTCCTCGTAGTAGGTTCTGCAGAATTGGCGAGAATGAAAGCATTGGTGGCTTCCAAAATTTTGTCGATGAAAGTCGCCGTTGTACCTTTGTTCCTACATTGTACTGGGTGCTGAAATTAATGATTATAACTGTTGCCTGTCTTTGCTGCAGCTTGGCAATTTCTCTTGCAACGCAAAAATCAACCGGTGCAGGCTGCCTTCAACGACGCCTTCGAAGTCTTCTGGTTTCGGAGTGCCTGAGGAAATGATGACACTTGAGTGAGGAAGAATGGTGACTTCTTCCAGCACATTCAGGACACTGCTTTCTGATGACGTGCGCGATGCACGGCTTCCTGATGACGTGGTAGTGCTTTTTCTTTGGATTGTGTTATCGACTTTGTTTTGAAGTCGATGACGGCATCATGGAGGCTGAGGAAGTCCATTCCAACAATGAGATCTCTCGAGCAATGCTGTTGTACGATGAAGCTTGCGGGATAAATGCGGCTGTTGCTGGTTATTCTGGCTGCGCAGGTTCCTGCCGGTGTTACGAGGTGACCTTCGGCTGTACAGACTTCAGTGCCCTTCAAAGCTGTCCTAACTTGCTTCAACTTCAGTTCCACTAGGGACGAATAGTCGGCCCCGGTGTCAACAAGAGCTGTGACGCTGTTGCTGTTGATGAGAAAGGCGAGGTCGCCAATTCGTCGCATCGCATTGGGGTTGGGTCGCGGCACCAGATCATGGCTGCGACAGTTTGCATTATCAAGTATTCTTCTGGATACAATTTTTCGACGTCGGGACTACGTTGACATCGCAGTGGGTTCTCGGGGTGGGTTTCATCGCGATGGCATTGGCGGTGGCGAAAGGTCTTCAGTGGTTCGTCGTACAGCAACTGCATCTCCGTCGGTTACTCCCCTTAGTTTTCTGAGTATGGGCTCTGTGAATGGTACTGAGTAGGGCCGGTGTACCGACGGCGTTGCAGTGGCATGTGGCCGCCTGACGACAGTGAATAGTAACGTCGTCATTGTGTCCACTGTGCTCCTGCGAGGTAGTCGGTGATATCTACAGGTCGTTCACCCCACTGTGGACGCGGCGTGCTCACGTCAAAACTGCGTAGCCCCATTTGTAAGTACTGGCAGCAGCGGTAGGTGCGGTCAGCTTCTCTGCAGTGGTAGCAGAGTGGTCGGGGGTGCTCCACACATTAGTTTTTCTCGAAGCGTAGCGCTGGCCGGGGGGTGAACGGTATGGCATCGGCGGTGGTGGTGGTGGTGTCTGGCGATGAAAATGCAATGGCACAGCTCCTTGACGTGCACGCAACGGGGTACGTTGCGCCGGGCTACAGCAGCGTAGCTCTCATGTCTTGTGGCTCAGGCTGCGCTGGTTCGTGTGTGCGGAGAAATTGTTGGATTTCTTGGCGTACGATGTTGACGATCGTATCCACTGGATGCTAGGGAGGATGGTAGGAATTTATGCAGCTCTTCCCATACTGTGGATCTGATGGTCTCGCGCAGGTCATTGGTGCTGAGGGCTTGAACTTCGGCAAATTCTGTCATCGCGCAGCAGCCATTATACTGCGTTGTCCTCATCTCAAGTGCTTTTTCTATTGTAGCAGCCTCCGTCAGTAATTCGTTGACACTCTTGTGCGGGTTGCGAACAAGTCCCGCTAACAGCTTCTGCTTGACACCTCGTATGAGGAACCAGAGCTGCTTGTCCTCAGCCATTGTGTGGACTGGCGTGACAGGACAGGCGGGTCATTTCTTCCATGAAAATGGTGACATTTTCATTTGGTAGCTGCACTCGTGTCTTCAGCAACGCAGTGGCCTTCTCTCTGCGAGCGACGCTTGCAAACAATTGCAGGAATGCGCCGCAGAAGAGATCCCAGGTTTGAAGTGCAGACTCCCAATTTTCGAGCCAGGTCTTTTTGGCATCTTCCAGGTAGAAGTACACACGATGGAGCTTCTTTTCCGTGTGTCAGTGGTTGAGGGCAGCCACGCAGTCATAGATCTCTTGCAGGGTCTCCGGGTCTTCGAACGATGGCCCACGGATAGTTGGCGGCTCCTTTGGACGCTGGGTGATGATCGCGGGCTCTGACGCAGTGGTTGTTATTGTTGCCACTGTCGCAGTCATGGCCTTGGCCTTCCGCGGCTTGTCTTGTACTCTGGTAGTAGGCCGTGCTGTCTGCAGCTTGTTTGCTGCTCGTGGCTGGCATCGGTGTCTTCTCCACAACATGGGCTGGGTTCACGGCTTGAGGGGGCGTCCGGTACGTGAACGAATCAGCATTTTCAACTGATGTCACGTGGTCGTAACGTGGACGAAGGAAACAGGCTGTAATTACAAAATGAAACTGTTTATTCGGCCGAACTTTTGGCCCGTAAACTTAAGGTCAGATTATAGCGATACCCACTGGCACTGATAGCGGCGAACAGAGCGTCGGCAGTCGATCAAGTGACTAGTAGGTGAAGCGCGTCGGTATTTATACACTTGACATCAAATATTCTAGCCTTATCGCTAGTGGTGGCATATGTTTCAGAATAATCTGCAACGTTCACGAAACGGACGTAACTTTAACAAAATGATTTACTGTAGTCTTGAAGCTTCTCAAACACTGTAGGCATGGTTTGTGCTGAGAATTACTTACAGTGAAATGGGGTGATAACAAAACTGGCTGGAGTGAATGTGGTAATATGTAATATGTACTACTCAAAATTCAATTTGAAACTATTCAAACGAATTCACTATTTGCTTTGACTTTGCTTAAAGGTAAAATTTGCTATTTACACATGCCTACTTGTTACAAATTAGCAATTTGCAAATGTGTTCCCATGCAGATCCTTGAGGAAATATCCGGTGGAGCTGCCGTTAATGGAGTGACCAATGGCCAGACATTGAATGAGTGTATTGACGATGTAGGACCTGAAGAGCCTAAGAAGGTAAGTTGAGCACCTATTTCATGCGTCTACATGTGACAAAAAGAAGGAATGAAATAATCACAAAAACGTGATTATAGCCTAGTGTACTTTCAGATGAAACAGGATATGCAGTTCTTGAACATAATGCTGAGGGATACTTTGCAGTTATATTAAATAAAAAAATAAAAATCTTTGTATCGAGCCCGAGATGACCGAAAGGAATGACAATTTAGGATTAATTTAACCTTTCGCTATCATGTCTGTAATACGTTTTCTTAGGCGAAATTTGTGGGGGTCACTTTTGGAAAATACAGTTGAATATTATTAAAGGCGCACTAAAGAGCAAAAGAACTTTTTGCGTATTAGTAAAGTGCAATTTCGTAATCCCAAAAACTCCACTTTTACCATGACACCACGCTTAGTAAGCGAGAAAGTGCGGGAAAAGAAAATGCGAGTGCTTACACCACCTTGAGATTTCCGTACCAGCGGGACATAAAAAATTTTGAAGGAGTTTGCTGGATTGTACGTAGCTTCCAATCAGTAAAAACGAAGTACATTGTCATCTGTGGGTGCTATAGCCTTAGCATACAAAGTTTTAGAATATTTTATTCAGCAAATGCCACAATAGGACCGAAAATACATTTTGAAATTTCTTGCATCATGCGAGGAGATTTCGGAGCAAAGTTTAAAAATGGAACTTCAACCTCGATTTTCTCCGCTAATAATAAACTTATGATGGTGAAACATATGGCATTAGAGTTCTCATAGGGCAGTTTCTCAATCTAAACAAAGTCATTGTTGCTCTTTAGTGTCCCTTGAAGGGGAAATTCGATTTGACAAATAAGTTGTATTAAGTCTGTATCCTAGCCGAATGAAATTTTTGCTGTATTATAGGCTTCTGTGCCAATTCATTTTATAGTAAGATGCACAGTTTTCATGTTATGCCATGACAATGAGTAGAGTATACAGTCGAACATGGTTATATCGAACCCACATATACCTAATTTCTGGGTATATCGAACTCGCAAGTTATCTCATTGTAATTTCTTTGTAGAAGTATGGAAATTTGGAAAAGTATAGAAAGTATGGAAGTTTATATGGAACGGTATTTTTACTCACCTTTGAGTATATCGAACACCGTGCTATCTGGAAAGGGGGCTTCAGCACTTGACCCCCCCCTCCCCACGCTCGTGCGATCTCCATTGCTCTGCACGCGAGTTGGAACGCGCGCTTTGGCACTCGCAGCGGCTGGCGACCTCTGCATGGCACCACATCTCCACCAAAACCCGAAACGCTTGAAAAATTGGCGAGGGGGCTCAGACTCCACACTCTCTAACTTGCAGAACAGTTTTTTTTTATTTCTCTTTCTCTCTTTCATGCTTTCTCCACGTACCCGTCGGCTCAGAGAGCAGGAACGAAGGAGCCGACGTCCTCCTCCTTTCACATTTCTATTAATTTTTTGTCGCTGTTTTGCGAGTTTTGATCAGCCAACCACAGGTCGCGCCTTTTGCTGTTAACCTTGCAGCTGGCCATCGCCTTACGAGCGATTTGATGCTTCTGCTGCCGTGTCAACGTCGCCTATGTACCACCGCATGTGCAGCATTTCTCTTTTGCATGCTTGGTGTGCAAAGCCACTGCGAACTCATTGAATTGTCGACTTCTCGTGTAGCTAAGGTTCATGTCAAAAAGTGCAAGACTTGACTTTGCGACGTAGTTTAAGGCTATTCAGCGTGTTGAGGCGGGTGAGAAATGTTCGACCGTTGCAGACGACTTCGTGATACTACGTAGCACTTGAGTACATTGTTGAAAAACAAGGCAGATATCAAAGCAAAGGCGGCGGAGCAGCAACCGTCGGGAGCCTGTCATGTGTGAGCTCATCTATAAAGCAAAGATATCTTTCTTAAGATAATTTTTTGCATCACAGTACCTTGGCAATCATGGTTATTTCACGCATATAGGTTTAGTGAAACTCCTCATACGAGAGAGAGAGAGATAAATAGAGAGGAAAGGCAGGGAGGTTAACCAAGCTTGGCTCGGTTGGCTACCCTACACTTGGGGTGGGGGAAAAGGAGAATAATAGAACGGAAAGAGACAGAAAAGAAGAGGAGTAAGAAAGAGAAGCATAAATAGTCAGCTCGAGACTACACAGCACGGCCTCGCACAGTCCTCATACGAAATGCAATGGCAAGCAGCCAGGTGACAATATCCTGGGGACTCTAGACAATGAATTCATTCTACGTTTTTGTAACCACCTTGTGCTCTTTAAAAGTGATTTTAACCTTGAGTTTAAAAACAATCTTCAGTTTTTTTGGCATTAAAGTAGAGAAACTAGGCTTCCAGAAGCAAAAAACAAAAATTATGTAGTTTTGACAAAAAAAACTTGCTTTTTTAGCTTTAATTTCCCCTTGAACAGGACATAAAAAAAAAACAGGAATGTGGCTTTTGTTCACAGAGAAACGTATATCATAGGGTGCAACTCATGAACAGGGCCGATTCCATCGTTGCACGAAATTGCATATAACAAGATTCCTCTTAAAAGCACTAAAATTAGGGCGACTTTGTACTTGAACATAGTGGTATATAAAATGCGTAAACAGACAAGAAATGAAAGACCGAGTGAAACAGATGAGTGCTCACTTCAAACTAAAGTTTATTCACAGGAGAAGCCAGGTTTTATCCTGCACCAAACGCGGAAGCGCAGGCGTATGATAGGCCAGCGATAGTCGCTTACTTGCTTGCCATGACATGTGTGGTCTTCCACCTCAGTTTTTTGATGTTTCGGTATGATGTCTTCATACCTAGGGGACACGTGTTTTTTTTTTTTGCGTTTTTTTCCAACTATGAGGTGATAGTTGTCCTTTGGTTTTTTGAGACTGTAGTTTCACGCGTCCTTGTCATCATTTTTATCTTTGTGGCGAGTGTTGATATAAGCCGTTAGTCATTTCGAGTCATGCATCGAAGGTCTGTCTGTGGGGTAGCTCGGTCGAGCCAAACAGGCGGTGCCACTGTGCCACTTGTGAAAGGAAAGTTGTCCTAGCCGTGGAGTCGTTGTCCAACGCTCAAGCTAGATGGGACATTAAAGCGGACGAAAAAAATATGTGTCACTGGAGGGGCTGCAGCGTGGAAAAACTGGGGTATTTTGATTGTGCTATCTTTTTCAAGACGTGCGGTATATCCAATGCGCTTGATGGCATTGAGGATTGCACACGGTTTGAAGACAGCAACAAAGAAGTCAGCGACAAGGGAAGCAGCGACGACGACTCGGAATGAGCGCGGCTTCGAACTAGAGGCTGAATGTTTCTCCAGTTGTTTGCATCAGGAACTGACTGCTATGTTTCATCTTCATGTTTATTAAATGTTTTCTCTTAGTGAATGCTGTCTTTGCTGTTTCATTAGACCTGCGTTCGAGGTAAGTTTTTTTTTTCTGTGCTTCCGACTTTAGGGGGTCAGCTTAGAATTGGGGTCGGCCAGGATTTGAGTAAATACGATAAGAGATGACCAATAAAACATTGCATAAGGCACTCTCAGACACCGTTATAACAAAATTGCATCTTACATAAGTTCATAGCGCAAGTTCATTATATCCAAAAATATACATAAAAGTATACTGTTAAATCCCGGCTGCGGCGGCTGCATTTCCGATGGAGGCGGAAATGTTTAGGCCCGTGTGCTCAGATTTGGGCGCACGTTAAAGAACCCCTGGTGGTCGAAATTTCTGGAGCCTTCCACTACGGCGTCTCTCATAATCATATGGTGGTTTAGGGACGTTAAACCCCACAAATCAAAAGTATACTGTTAAACCTGCTTATAACAAACCTTGTGGGGTCTCGGCGAGGCGAACGCGCGCATCGCCACGCCACGCTCCTGGAGTGAACGGACACAGTGGACACGGTCGGTACCAAGCACACAACATACATACATTTATTAACTAATTTAAACGACGATATCGTCCGCCGAATGATACACCAATTTCAACTAACACGCTACCATACAAACAACATAACCCAGTGACACACTAAACACACAATAACATGATAAACACACACTAACACACTCAACACACTAGCACATACCCAAGACGGCGTCGCCAACGCCTGACTTTCCACGTGGGACCCCGGCTCGAAGCCCGCGGTGCCGAGCACCGGGGACCCGCGCTACAGACAACCGTTCGCGGCAGCCGCCACGCGCAGAAGAGGCTCGCTCAACGCTCGCCCACCACCAAGGCCCGCCTTCCGCCAGGGGCCACCACCGGCGCTACCACTCTACCAACAGTGGTACTCAAAGCGAACACAACGCCATCTATCGCCCGGTGGTGGTCACCACCGAAACAACGCCCTGGGGCGAGACACGTGCGCCACGCGGCGCAGACAACTTTACAGGGGGGGGGGGTGTCAGCACCCCCACATTCCCCCAACCTTAAATCAAACCATATCCCGAAATCAGAAATTAGCTACACAAGCTTTAACAAAAAAATGATATCGCACGACCATAATGTCCTTGCACCACGACACCGCCGCTGGTCGACACTGCTGCACTCTCCGGCTAGACTTCACCTCAGTACCGGCCCCGCAACAGCAACGTTGCCGTCGGCGCGACGATCCGTCGCTAGCGCCGACACGTCTTCCAGTTGCGACCAGCACTCACGAGGGCGCCGGACTGCAGGCAGTTGCGCAGGTCCCAGGCATCTTCATCGCCCGAACTCACGACGGCATTCCTGGCCAGCGACGCTGACGATGCGCAGGACAGCCGGCCGTGGATGACATCCCTCCCGCTGAATACATCAACAAAAAACAAAACTCGAAAGAAACAAAGGAGCGCGGCCCAGGGGAGGGAGCTTCAGGCTTTTCGGCCACGTGGTACGGTGGTTAGTACTGCTAGCTAATACATCGGTGGCGGCCGAGACGCCCATCAAAATAAAAACAAAAATCACTTTTCCTAACTCGTGCTCACAAGAAAAAAAAAGTGAGGGAAGCGGAGCGCAACACCTCAACGCTACGATCCACCTAGTTGTGCCACGTGCG